ACAATTTTTAATTCTTTCATTAAGTTTCGTTGAAAGGTTATTTAAACAGATAATTCGTTCATTAAAAGAATCCACATTTTTTTTAAAATTTGAGTTACATTCATTATAATTTACGTTAAAAAATCTATAATATGCATTTAAAAGATTTCCATCTTTATAAATTTTAGATGATGTAACTTAACAGAATTTTTTTTCTGAGGTGGTTTCATCTTCAGATGATTTTATTTCAGAAAGAAATCTTTTAGGTGTTTCTTCTTCCTCATTTTCAGCTTTACTACTATCTCTAACGTTTTTTAAATTAAATACAAAAATACTTGTATTTTCCTGAGAATGATTTAAAGAAACAATGTTTTGTAATTCTTCTTGTGAATTAACTTGATTAATGTTATTTTGAAAGAAAATTGGTTGTGTTTTCTCAGATATTTCTTCATTAGAATTTTCTGTTATTCGTCAAATAATCTATCACAACTTATAGCTTGTGAATTACTTTGAGTTAAAGAATCATAGTTTTCTCCAATAACAACCTTCATTTGATAATCTTCATCAATCTCTGCGTTTAATACAAATTTTGTAAATTTCTCTAATAATTGTAACAACATAATGGGAGTTAAAATTTTTTTATTTTAAAATCAATAAAATATTAATTTCTTTAAATTTAAAAAAGTTGAATTATTAAAATAAACTATTTAAATCTAAATAACAAGCTTTTTTATTAATAAACAAATTATCAATAATAATGTATTTATAAAGAAAATTACATATAATTAACAATCAACTTATATAATTAAATATTATATTTTAATTGGTTTTTCATATTTTAAAACTCTATAAAATAAAATATAAGCAATACAATATTTTAATTTAATGTTTTATATCAAACGTAAAAATTAAATTTATTTTGTTGGTTATTAAGGTTACAATTTTCTTTTAACACGTTCTAGTTCCTTTTTATAGTTATTGTTTTGTTATCTTTATGATCTCTTGATTGATTAAAATCCCTTAACATAATAATTTTATTAATAAAAGTTTTACTTTAAAATATACTTTAAAATATTTAGTTTTTAATAAACTTAAAAATGTTGACATATTAAATGTTTATAAAAAATTAAAAAACTCTATATGTATTTAAATTTATAAGTATTTTTATGTGAAAGTTGTTAAATTTTGTCAATTTAAAA